ATGAAAGTTATTGGAGGACAAATGTAGCTCACCAAGATCTTGCAGGTTACCTAACCATGGAGGTATTGTTCCTGTGAATTGGTTGTTGTTGAGTAGGAGATGCTCGAGTTTCCTAGAGATAGAGAGCTGAGATAGTACTTCTCCAGTCAAATTGTTGAAGGATAAATCAAGAAAAGTGAGCTCTGTCAGCTGACTGAATTCTGAAGGAATGTTGCCAGTAAGATGATTGTATGCCAGGCGGAGACGGCTTAGATTCTTTGACACGGCTAGACTAGGAGGAATGCTACCTGAAAAGCTGTTGTTTGTCAAGTCCAAGGTAGTCAGATTGCTTGAGCCGGTAAGGGGAAAGATGGAGCTAGAAAACCTGTTATGAGAAAAATTGATAATCTTGAGGTTTTTTAGAAGGAAGAGAGATTTGGGTAGAGGACCTTCAAAAGAGTTATTGAAAAGTGTAACTGTGCTTAGTTCAGAAAGGAATCCAAATGTAGGTGGCAATACCCCTGACAGTTTGTTGTCTCCTAAGGAGAGCAGCTGCAGATTTCTGCAATATCCCATACTTGGAGGAATTGGACCTGACAAATCATTCAGCCTCAGTTGAAGCAGGACTAGATTTTTAAGCTTCCCAATAGTTGTAGGAATGGACCCCCTGAAGTGGTTACCAAAGAAATCAACTCCAGTCAAGCTTGAGCAATTTGTTAACTCAGCTGGTATAGTTCCTGACATCTGGTTGTCATAGAGGTAGATTGCGCTCAGTTTCTGCAGCTTTCCTATCTCCATTGGGAGTGAACCTGTGAGCATGTTGTCAAAGAGATAAAGATTTTCAAGGTTAGTCAAGTTCCCAATTTCATGAGGCAGACTTCCAGTAAAACTGTTATTGTTCAGCAGGAGATCTGTAAGGTTCAGTAGCATATCAAGGCTGGATGGCAACTCTCCTTCAAACCTGTTATTGGAAAGATCGAGTTGTCGGAGCGAGGAGCAGTTCAGCAGCTCCAAAGGGAATCCTCCAGAGAGCTCATTCTGAGCTAGAAAGAGTTGCTGTAAATTGGAATTCCTGAGGCAGAAGTTTATTGGAATGCCACCTGTCAAACCATTATTAGACAAAACCAGAGTTTGAAGATTCTGCAAGTGCCTATTGAACAGGACTATGCTTCCTGAAAGATTGTTACTTGAGAAGTCAAGTTCTTGTAGCTGAGCTAGGTGGTTTAGCTCTGAAGGAATTTCACCACTCAGCCTGTTTCCAAGCAAATTCAAGTACCTCAAATAGGAGAGATGACTTAACTCAGTAGGAATAAATCCAGAGAGGCTGTTATTAGCCAGGTTCAGAATCTGCAGTGACTCAAGCTCTCCCATTGAAGCAGGTATTTTTCCTTCAAGCTTGTTGTTTGATGCTGCAAAATCTTGAATCTCTTTGCAACCTTGAATCTCCCTAGGAATGAGGCCACTGAGACTGTTACTCTGCAAATCAAGAGATACCAGATTCTTCAAGCTACCAATTTCAACCGGAATACTTCCATTTAATTGGCAATAGGCAAGACCAAGTACTCTCAACTCTGTCAAGTTACCAATACTTGGAGGAATTTCACCAGTTAACATATTGTTTCCTATTCTGAGAACTTGCAGCCTCCCCAAAAGGCTTATCTCTGGAGGAATCTTACCAGAGAGATAATTTGAATGCAGCAGCAGTGTCCTTAGATTTTGAAGTTGTGCAAGATCAGGGGGGATCATGCCAGTGAGTAGATTAGATGATAAGTCCAGAGTCTGAAGAGAAATAATTTGCCAGACCTTGCGGGAGATGGAACCTGATAATCCATAACTGGAGAGGTTCAATCCAATAACGTAGGCTTGATCATCTGAACATGTTAGCCCTTTCCAGCTACATACATGAGTAGTTAGAGACCAGCTTCCCAGAACACCTGCAGGATCAACTAGTTCTGATTTGATTCTCAGAAGCCGGTAAGAGTTGGTTGAATTGTCCCCCCATGCGGCAGCAAAAAAGGCAGTAAGGATTGCAAAGATTAACATAATGAAATGAGAAATTTGAATGCTACTCATTTCAAAATGCAGCACCAATAACAACTCTAGATCAAAGGATCAGATAACGGATTGGATAGCTTCAGTATTAAAATAGTTGGAGCTTGAATCGATATTTTTAGAGAAAAAGGCAATAAAAAACTCTGAGAAATTAATCGATTCAAAGGCAAGGAGGCCACAACAGATCAATGCAACAGGAACACAAGGAGGTATCTCAGTGAAAGAACTGGAATGATGATGAAAATTTGAAGTGTAAATAGTTACAGAACCGGAGCCTGCTTAATGATATTTGAAAAGAAACATAGTGTTAAATCAAATAGAAGTAATGATTTAAGCATTAAGCAAGGAAGAGCAAAGCATGTTCAAGTAATGTTGTGAGATGAGACTGTATATATATGGAAACAAGATGCAGTGATGGGTATGTTGTGGGAAAAGAAAAAGTGCTTGTTAGCTAGAAAAATTTTAGTGGGGCTCACTGTAGGCTGTCTCTAATTGAGAGTCAAATTATCTTTCATACACATAATTTGTATTTTCATATTCAGAAAAGTTCTCTAAGAATATCTTTGGAGTTGTTCCAAGAGATTTAAGCAAGGTCTGACTTTGTGAGGAGATGAGAATCAATGTATCCACTTTCAATTTTGTCTGCAAGATTGGTATGGAACCATTATGTTAATGAAAATATAGGACGCTCAGAAGGAGCATAAAGGAGTGTAAGCGTGCACCCCCAACTTGGTCCTTTTGAATCATTGAAACAAAAGATGGCGTGGATAATGAAATCATGGCTGAATTCAATGGTTGGAATTCGATTGTCATTTTCCTCTAAATGCTAATATCACCTACAAAGGAAAGGAGATAACAATAACAGGAACCAACCTGAGTTAATTAGTTTCTGTCATTCTTAATGATGATCTAGTGATATTGTCTGTTTTGACCCATTAGGTAATAAGGGGTTTATGGGTATTAACTTATATACTCGGCATTTCTCTCGTGCTTTGTTGAAAAAAGATTTGCCTAAGGTGTCACACTCAACACAATGATAATAATTATAATCATAATTCATGGGTTAAACCCTATGTCTACGGGGATAGAGATCAGATGCAATGAAAGCTACAGAAAGAAAAATAGGAAGGAAAGTTTCTGTTTTTCTACTAAACTTCATATCTGTATAATTGAGGGTTTAGATATTCCAAACCTAAACCACCTAATACCAACTTAAGTACAGGAAGAAAACAAAAGAGTAGAGCAATGATAATAAATTTTACAGGACCTGTTTCATTGATCATAATCAGACACAAAACAAGGCCAGGTCATGTATATATGAATGTTTGATTGGACTATTCATGTCTAATTAACTCAAATCAGAATATTCTGATAACCCAAAATTCAATAAAGAAACGAAGAAGATTCTGCTTCAGAAGAAAACATACAGACAGGACAAAGCCGTTCACTTCAAAATTGAGTTTGCCTTAGCTTTCAGTTGGAACCTTGCATTGTCACTTTGCTTAGTGTCTCAGGATTCAAGCAAAGGCAATCGATATGCATGGAAAACCACATGGATTGTCCCTAGAAAATACTTGACAAGAAAGCATTAGTAAGTTATCTATCTACCTGGACCATTTGTTTGCGCTTTTTTTTTGGTAAAACCTGGACCATTTGTTACTGAACAGATCTACAATTTTTACCTTCTGCTTTTGCTGAGGTGGTAGCAACCTTCATATGTAATGAACCTCCGTGTTCTTTCCTGCCACCCTTTTCTTCACATGAATAAGTCACCACCAATGAAAATTTTTCATCGTGATAAACCCACATATATAGGATATGTTTTGTCCACCTTTCTAATATATAATCATTATTTCCATTTCCATTTCCATTCCCATTCATCGATCTTGTTCAAAGTTCAAATGATAAAGGAAAGACCATGGAGTAAGACTATTCTTTATGATTGACAGGATGAAAAGATATTCAATCACCTTACTGAATGATTTATGTAAGGATTACACAGATAGATTGTTTATAGAAACGTTTTCTCGGTTTACCTAATCCAAGCATTTTATCCAGTGTGCCACTTTAAAATAGGAATTACAATGTTATCAAACGGCTACCTAATCTTGAACTTACATAGAAATAAGATGGACAGTTTTTAAGGTACCACATCACATCCATGTGGAGCAAAAGGTAATAAAAACAGGGCATACAGCCAATGGAGAAGGTATCATGTTGAACAAATATAATGAAAACAATAATATGATTTAGTGGGCATGGTTATGGCAACACTTAAAATTGTTATGGTTATATAAACTATTAAATATATTTTTTAATAATATTGATTTTGTTTAGTTTGATTGTTAAGAATAGCTGATGGTATAATTATTAATTGATAATCGATATAATAATTAATATTTATTAGTTAATAAATTAAAATTAATTTATAAAATAATATTTTTTAAATATCATAACTAACCATTAAAAAAAAAAAACCAAATATATGTGATAAAATAATTTTGCATGTCAGAATAACCACATCCGATGAAGGCCTAAGTGTCAATGGGACTAAGCCACTCACCAATAAACCAATCATTAGACTGTTTTGATCTGCTTCGAGGGACACTTGCTACCTTCCACTGAGAGAAGAATCAAGAGTCATTTTGGGGATGAATTTTCCTAGAGAAGGAACAATAATATCGTCCAATAAAAGTACCCCACATGAAGTTACGTAGCAAAAGAGCTAAGCTGTATGGTCCAAATTATATAGGTCAGGCACCACTTGATATTGACTCTCGAGCAGCTTGCTAACATCATCTTCGTCTTCTTGGTTTCATACCAATCCTTAAAACGTTAAATTGGAAGCAGGAAAAGAAACCTGGAGCACGTAATCTACCCATTTATTGGTCACAGTTCAACTGATTTATTGATAAGTATAGAGATATATTGACTTTGGTCTGTGAATTTAAGTTTAGTCTTCCTAGTTTGGTACACAAATCTTAGATATGGCTTCTGGCCGGCTACTCAAGAAACACGAGGCCTCAGGGCTATGCCCTTTTTGTTTTTGCCTGCCAGGCTCTATGTCCTCGGTAACAATCATCTATAGTGCACATGAGATAAGTAATCAGAGCTCTTCACCACGTAAATCTAAACCCAAAATCCAGAGCAGAAATTTGAATCCATGTTCTTAAACAGGAAACCAGGTTACCACCAGCAGCAGATTAAAATGAATAATTTTACATATTAATAATCCTATAAAGAGAAAAAAAGAACATATTGATCTTATAAAGCAATGTCTGTCGAATTCCATCCAGGAAACAGCAAGTTGGATTTATGTAGAAGAAGAATTTCATTAAACTGTTAACTAAAACCAAGGATAAGATGATATACAGGCAATGATGCTATATCTCAGCAGTCTGGCAATCTACACTCGGATTGTTGCCAGATATGAACCATCTATAACACAAAAAGAACAACATACAAACTGCAATGCATGTTCTGAATAAGTTAACAAGCGCATGCTGTAGTGTACACCATTCTGATTGTAGGGTCAGATTAGGCCCTGTAACTGCATCTGTTATCCCCAGCATCCTTATAATCCTGCAACAATCCTTTTAATAGTCTAGGAATTCCTGACACAGCAAAACCGAAAATTGTTTCAAGAAGACCTTGTTAAATTACCTGAAATGAAACCAACTGATAACATGTAATCAAGATTTTGTCAAGGGTAATACGAAATCCATGCGTCACTATGTAGTCCTTAAGGTGGAAGGAAGAAATCTCATGAGGAAGCTTGAAAGTGACCAAATACAAATGATCCCAAGAAGCTGAAGAACATTCAGAAGTGTTCCCAAAGAGCTGTTAATTGCCAAGTTATGTGACGTCATTTCTGCACCTCTGACTGAGAATGACAGGGCTGTCACTAGCTGCGCTGCTCTGTTCAGTTGGTGCAATCTGTAAACCTGCTCAATTGTAAAAAATAAGTGTATGTTGAAATTTTATTGGAGAATCAACCAAAATGAATATACCAATTTGAAAGGTACTGAATTACCACAAGAAACAATTTTCAACAAAACATGTGGAAGGATAGAGATGAACAACATCCTAGAAACATATAGTAAAGTTAATGTATTGATAAAATATATCACAACACAAAGGGACAGAAAAATATCAGATCTGATCTAACAAAATTTAACATTGCTCCTTCCTCTTAACAGAGATGCCACAAAAAAGGGGAAACAAATAAGTCATAACAGCTCTTACTTGAAAGATTATTGGGATGGAAGGCCATGAGGGTGACTTGCGATATCTTGCATACTGCTCAAATGCAAACTGGACAACAATACCAACTAGGTAAGGAGCTAGAGTAGCAGATGCAGCAGGACCAGTCCAGGGCCAGACCAAACCCATTGTAACCATAGGAATTATAAGACTAAGAACTAGGGTAGCAACAGAAGAGATTCGTTGCCCCAATTGAGGAGCCAAGGAATCAGCAGCAATATCAGGCTCAACTGGCCTCCATAGACGATCAATTATTAAAAGAAAAATGGCAGCACCAGAATAGAAAAGGGCTTCTGTAAAGAACAATATGAGAAAATCTGCAGAAAGAGAACATAGGACCATTTAGAGTAAGAACTGAATGTGCACACAGCATAACAGCTCAAGATAATTAAAATATTATACCATTAAGAGAGTAAATTTCACATAATGGTAAATCCTAAAAACTGCCATACTACAGTAGTTTAATTGCACAGAATGAGTCATCTGCAGACTCATTCAGCTATCCATTCTACATAGAGTCAATCTTATATTATTTCCTTAAAATTTTTTCAATATTCTTCAGTACCTTTGTCATTTGCCCGTTATTAAATGCTTCAATATTCCTCATTTGCCAAATTATCCCTCAAATCTGTTAATAAGAAGAAAGCTACCAGAACCAGAGCATGTCAAACACTTCCACCAACAAATAGGAGAGCTCATAGCATATTTGAAAAGTCACTGAGGATTCAATTATCTTCCCTACCATCACCCATTTTGTTGTTGCTCATTTCCTTATTTTAATAGTGAGTTAGTAACACAGGTACCATCTTCCATAAAAATTGTGATCAATACTAAGATACAACATTACCCTTAAGCCTACAAGGGACAGTGGGAGGGAGGCATCAGAATAACAAGAAATCCTGATCCTATAAATAACTAGAGTGATCATTCTTATTCTTCATTAATATGTTTCATTTGATTTATTAATGAATCCATCCAATCACCATACAAAATTGCACATACCAGCCAGCAAAGAGTCCTCAAATATGGTGGACAGTAATCTACGTAAATAAAGTGATGGAAGAATGAAAGATGAAACAAGGACAGTAGGACCAAGGAACCATAGCAAGCTGCTTTGATTCTTTTGAACATTAGAAATGGCTTCATCATCTCTTCTGTATGGATGATTATAAAATGATATAAAACCAGACTTCCCATCAGCTCCCTCAAAATGACCAGCTGAAGTGATATCTTCAGAACCAGAATGGTTACTTGACTGCTCCAAAGCATCAGGTTCAAGCTCAACATATTGTTGTTCCTTGAAAGTAGCACACAGCACACTAAATCTCTCTGGGAATGTTTTTAAGACTCCATGTAACAAGTGGCATGATGTAACTAACTCAGAAAACCAGAAAGAAAATATCAGAAAGACATGCTTAACATAGTCAGTAATAAAGTCAATATTCAAATTGATACATAAATGATTGAATGATTCAATCACAGTACAATACAGATTTAAAAGCAGGGTACCTCAGGACCAGTAGCTAGAGTCAACTAAAATATTAATATTATTGCATCTTACAAGCTACAAGACTATAAGATTTAGGCAGGTCAAGTTACATCTCAAGACAAAGTATCACAAAAACTTGGCATCCTTAAATTAAACATCAAAACCAAATTCTCAATATTCAAAAGGTTTAAAACTACCTTTAGCATTTCTAAGCTGCTCAGCACCATATTGCTGCCTGCTACATGATCTCCTTAATAAGTTCAACTAGAAATAAAAGACAAGTATTATTGAAAAAGAAAATAATAAATGTAACCAAAATTGCTTGAGTGAGAATGCTAGGGAATCTAAAATGAAAAGAAAAAGATTAATAAAAAAATATAAATATAAATATAAAATAATTTTCCTGTTTCATTAATGCTAGATATAACAGACACATTCCGAAGAAGAACAAAAAGGAGCATCTGACCTTCCCATAACATTGAAATATCTATGAGGAGACTTGCAACAGAAGAAATGGGAGAAAAAACTAAATGAGGGGAAGACCAAGGGCAAAGAAGGTTGAATCTGGCACCAAATCACCTGGCCAATGCATACTATGTCACATGTATTTACTCCCTAAATTCAAAATTAACATGACCTTTATTCAAGAATGTACACTTATGAATAATCCAACTAAAACTTTTAAAAGTAGCTTCACAAACAGCATGGAAACTTTTAATAGTCTCCTCACCTTCTTCCAACCCCTCAACATTAAAATAAGCCAGAAGTTTTGCTATTCTAGTGTATGCTAATGCAACAATATTATACCATGTTCCACGTATATCTAGGTACTCTAGCTCCTTAGTTAAAAGAAAGGGCATGTATATTATGAATATATGATCTTAATCAAGAATGTCTATTTGGGCAAATAAAAAGAATGTCTACAACCAATTCTGTATAATTCTCTAATTACCAACTACAACACTAGACTCATACCAAAATAAAGATCAAAACTTTGGAAAATCCCACATACCCGGGAATGTACAGGAGAAGAAAGTGAAGTGAGAGCGCAAGAAATTGAAGCAAAACCAAACTTGCAAGCCATATAATTTAATGACAAAAAGGAACAACCAAGAATTTCACAGAGTCAACTAGAGCATGTTAATCGATTCTAAGACATGGGTTGTTGAATTGAAGAGAGTTCAAGAAGACCAATATGAAAATTTTTCTGGAGATGGAGAGGGAAAGTTGAGGAATTCGGAGAAACTGAGGTAGCGCGGTAACGGGTATTTAGAACGGAGTTGAAGACGGCCCCTTTTTTTTTTTTCTTTTTTTTTTAATGTACATTGCGCAGCCTGCAGGACTGCAGGACCTCTTGTTGAAAAAAAGAAAACGAAAAATAAAACGCTTAATTCAGATTTTTTATAATTTTTAAAATTTTATAAAATATTTGAAAAATAATTGAAAATTGAGATTATAGGTTAATGTAGTGGGTTGTTTTTTCCTTTTTTGTAAAAAAAAAAATTTGGCATGCACAATTAGGGTGTGTGTCTGTCTGACCTAATTATTGTAAAATGAGAATATTTTTCAAGTAGTTAGTGAGAATCAAACTTTCAATTAATTAAAATTTGAAAATGAATCATTAAATCTGAAGATTCTTTTATAAGTACTATTTAAATAGATTTTTTTATAAAAAAATTATATCATAAACTCATATATAAATAAATAATTATAAAAAATGTAAAAATGATACATTCTCAAATTCGTAAGTTTAATTTAAAACTAAAAGATTCATGCCAGAAGCAATAAATTTGGAGATCTAGCTTCTAGTCAAAAGATTACAACACTTTTTTTTTTTTTAATGATACTTTGACTTAACTCTAACTTTAATAATAAAAAAACAGATTTTTACAAGTTAGGTATTGAACTTCTAAATTTCATAAATTTTATCAATTTCTTATAATTACAATTATTTTATATAAATTCATGATGAATTTAATGTTTTGTAATTTAAATTATAAAATATTAATTATTAAATGATAATAAAAATTCTTTCATTTAATAATTAATATTTTACAATTTAAACCCACTTTTTTTTCATTCAAAATTCAATATTATTAGAAAAAATTTTCACAAACATTACTTTTTTACAAGTTACCAATTCTCTGCCATCAATCCATTCCAGCAAAAAACTCCTCCACAACTTAAACCGAAAAAGATATCTTTAAAATCTAGTGGTATTCCGGACTCTTGATAGCAGAAGAAAGCTTGAATTACATGATAACACAGAGACGAGAGAAAGGACTGCAGCTGAAAGTTGTCCAATAATGGCAAATGATTCAAAGTATACATCTCATAGTACACAGGCAAACAATACTTGCCTGCTATGACTTAGAACTGAAGACAACCACCCCAGTACCCAGGAACCATAAGAAAAAAAACTAAAAAAGCCTTCAATGAGAAATAAATTGTTATAAAAATGACATAAATACTAATCGAAAATGCACTCTGTTTCAATCTGTTTTAACTTGAAGATATTCAAGAATCGATCACCCCGGTACAAAAAGGGATGTTCCCTACCCTCTTCAAAATTTTTTCAGCTTTTGGAACATTCTCGGAGAAAACCCTAAAAGTCATTCCCTTTACACCTATGACCTTCTCATATCAGATACGCAAATCTAAAGGAAATTAACCCTCTTTAGATACCTGATTGTTTTGCAATACCTCGGCCACATTGCTTCAAGATAATCAATAAACGTCTCCTTCACCCACTCCTGCATTTCTTTCAACTTTCTTTTCAATAGCTCCTTGTAGTCCATGTTCTTTATGTCCAATGCAGGCTGCCAGAAACGAGCCTGTAAATCTTCCCTGAACTTACCATGTGCGAAATACCTAAATGTTTTAACTGTCCGCTTGAAGGCGTAAATATAGAGAGCACACAGCATTTTAATTGCTGTGATGTATAAAGCACCAATCAGGGGCCCAAATACCCACAAAGGAGTCAGCTCCTTAGAAACTGCAGTTCCATAAATCACATTGACTGCCAGGTACATAGGAATACTGCACATAAACCATTGCCACATAAGCAACTTACAAACAAATACCAAATTCATAAACCATGAGATAAAAAATGAATTTAAGGCACTGATGTTCAACTCATTAAATGAATTTGACCATTTAGATAATGAAATGGGTGAAAGGGAAGTGGTATCAAAACTTAAAAAAAAGCTGCCCTGAAAGAATGTAGGGCAAAGCAAACATGTAACTGTCCTTAAATAGATCATATTATTAAATGTACTCTCTTAAGAGGTATACTTACAATATCAGTAACGGCATTTTTATTGTTGAATCCAAACTCCAGAACCACCACCAAACTGCCTTCAGAACCCCACCTTGATTGCTTTGGGTCTCTATACAAGTTTCTGATGTGTTCGAAGGTGGCAATTCTTCTCCCAAAACTCCTTCGATTACCAGACTTGACGGTTGTGAGCGCAACATTATTAACCATTTCTGGAATAATTTTTGAATAGCAAGAGATCCAGCAACTGTCTCATTTCCTTCAGAGGCAAATGCAACAGGCCCCTTATGGGCCTTCGGAGATTCGATTGTGGTCTCTTCACCCTCTTTTGGGACATAAGAAAGTTTAGCAGAATTCTTGGGAATATTTGATCCACTTGCTCTGCTTTCTGATTCATCCTTGGGACTGCCTTTGAAGGCTAAAACTTTAAAATGTCTTACTTTCACTCCACGAGTACGAGGAGTCTCTACACTGCAGAATTAAGCAATATTCATGAGATTCAAAAGGAAGAAGCTTAACTCTTAGGGGCAAAAAAGGGTGCCACACTGCCACCATGAAGTTCAAGAATTAATTACTAACAAAAAGAAGACAGTAAATATACTAAGGAGAGACATGACTCACCTCAAACAAATATTGTGTTTTAATGATGTACCCCTCTCTACCCTTCCAACCATACAAAGAGTGGTTACTTGTCTCTTTAATGTCAATCCTTTTCTCCATGGTAAGGACCTAGAGGGATATGCTACATATGGACCCTGAAAGACAGTAAACTAAAAACATTATATACACTTCCAGGAAAAGATAAAATGAAAGCTGGCAGTACTATAGGTTTGAAACAAATGAGAATCTTTCTAGACAGAGAATACCAAAAAAAGGAATAAGAAAGAGGTTTCATCAACAACATTTCACCCTCTCACAGATTTCAACAGCACAGAAAGGATGAGTTGCATGCCAGGAGAAATCACTTTAAATCCACCATCAATCTCTTTGTTTCCTATGGGAATTGAATTTTTACCTTCCTCAATTTGTCCATGCACTGCTAACCACCAACTTCTATAAAAAAAATTCCCCATACAAATTTGGTCTTATCCTCTATTGATTACTCTTCAAAAGTTTAGTGAATTTACCTGCAATTGATGGGTCAACAACACCATTGTCTCAAAAACCACCTTAAGCACCCGTTCATGTACTCAAAGGGGCCTAAATAAAAAGAACGTTCCATGTTAAACACATTGTTTTTCATGGTGGCACAACAAACTGTAAATGTTGAGCTGTCAGGTGAACAAGACACTTTCACATACAATGCCAAGACAAAGCAAAAGCACATACTACAACAGAAAATATAGGACCAGAAATCAAGAACAAACCAGGCAATTTCCAGAAGATGTACACTAAACTGGTTCACCTTACTCCAATAGCATTAGCAAGACATCAAAGAAGAAAGTTATCAAAAATAGATTCCTAAACCTTAGACATTGTGAAAGAAAAATTACAATTACCATTTAAAGTGTAAATGGAAAAATACTAACTTTTATATAACATTAAAAAAGGGGGGAAGAACTTCCATTTTTCTTTTTCAAACCTCAGCATAAACCAGTTTAACCATACAGTTAAATACCAAAAAATACTTATCTAACCTAAAAGAAAAAGAATGTCAAATTACGAAGTATACAAGATATGACAATCTCCACACAAATTGAACTCAAATTCAAATTTAAGATTATCTTAAAAAAGTGCTCCATACCCACAAAGATTTTGACGAGTGGAATCATGATAACAATAACAGAAAAGGCCACCATTTTCTTTAACTACCAATACAATTAGATAAATCAAGCAATTTTCTATCCTCAATAAAAATTATTAAAAAAAAAAATCAATATAATACCTATGTGCAATAACAGAGAAGTTAAGTCAGCTAAAAATCTTTGTCCACAAAGATAATATCTTTAATTACTTGCGATATTAAACCAAGAAAGGAAACAAAAAGAACTTCAAATTTTACTTCTCCCTACAAAACCCATAAAGTTTCTAAAAGAAAAAAAATTTGTTTCTTTCCACGATTCATGAATGTCTGAGCAACCAAACCGGCTGAACAGTGAGATGGCAAAACCCTAGAACAAAAGGGGAAAACCCCATAAACAAAAAGAAAAACAAACAGCAAGATTATACAATTAAGGTTCAAGATAAGAACAAAAAGGAACAAACCAACCTTGTACATGAAGAAATCACGGCCTCCCCAACAGCTTGAAAAACTTCCAAATATGCTGGATAACTTACAGCAAAATAATAATAATAATAATAATAATAATTAACAACTTAAAATTAAATTTCGTTTGGTGTAATGGATAGGGAGGAGGATTAGGAAGAAGATTTTGAGCGGTGAATTAGGGGTCTTATGGGGAAGTTTTTCTTCGTTTGTTCCCTCCAACAGTCGGATGTTGATGATAATAAAAAGCAACCAAAATCAGAGGGTAAGAAGCAGGCAAAAAGCGAGGCGGTTGAAATTCTATTTTATTTTAAATAAATAATAATAAAAGAAAATAGAAATTGGTGGCTTTTTATTTTGTGAAACTTGTCGGTTGTGTTTGTGTTTGCGTTTCGTGGATCGTGGATCGTGGATCGTGAGTTGCTTTGGGGCAAGGCCCAAATCTTAACAAGGGTACTCCTTTTCGGCCT